GAGCTAAGTGGAAGTGAAGCATGAAGTATCTGAATGAGGCATAGAATATTCTTTTTTAAGTGTAGGCTAATGTAATTGAAGTCAACTAAAAACCAACAACAAACTCACTAGTGCATATGGCTTCAGATACAATATTGTATTCTGCTCTGTGATCTATGGAACAGTTCTATTCAAATTACATAATAATTAGATATGATGGTGCTGACTCATATATCAATTAAAATGGCACCTCATGAAAGAAAGGATTATGTGAAGTTCGCACAAAGAGAGATTCCTTAGGTGGAAAGTATAAAAAAAAGATATCACATGCATTAAAAAAAAAAGCAGCTTATTGGGAGCACATGAATCTGGAAATTATATACCGTGGAATTTTCCCCTCCGTGGTCTATGCTGAATAATGGTGTTGAGTCATAATGAGCACGATGACTTAATCAAGGGAGAATCCTAAATTCAGATTCTCAAATTAAACATTTGCACTTAAGTCCTCCTTCCTTAGACGACAACATCACTTTCTCATTGTCAGCCTCCAGTGGAAGAAGCTGTACTAGACCCACCATGATGAAGGAGAGTGCATGCACGGATCAACATCTACAGTTTAGATGCCACTATCTGTAAATTACAGAGCCAATGTAAAACACTACTAAAAATAGCCCAATCCAACTGCTGAATGAGGATTTACGGTCACAAGGATTAAATGCCAATCCCATCCACATAGCTCCAAAAATAACAACTACCTTTTTTTTTGTAAGAAGATCGTTTTGGGATTAACTGAGGACCTATTTGACATTTCAACTCTAAAGTACATCCAGGAGTCACCGATACTCTTCTCAAGAGTTCACCTATTCATCTCAGCCCTTCTGTCATAGCCAGTTAAGAAGCTCGGGCATTAGGATTCTTATCCATCACCAGTTTTCCACAGGTGCAGTTGATTACTAACTTAGTAATCAGACTACTTTATCATGAAGTGGCATTCTTCATGAATAGAAAAATATTCTACTTGCTTTATGTTCAAATCATTTGTGACTACAATAGCCAGATATTGCAGGTCTGGCCAGATATCCTTAGAGTTACTATGACCCATATATCCTGGACCACTCACAGGTGCTAGTCTCTTTCAAGCTCATTTGGCCAATACAGGGATGGTTGCTGGATGACAAAGGGTACTTGCTCCACACTTGACTGATGGCACTTCCAAAAAGCCTCAGACTGTCACTGCAGCCAGGGCCATGGTAAAATATACTGTAGATCAACTGAAGGTGAGGTTTTGTAGCCTGAACAAGTCAAGGGCTCTGCAGTATACCCCAGGCAAAGTATCTCATACCATTGTGGTATGCTGTACCATCCACAATGTCAGTTGTCAACGTGAAATGTGTTGGTTGAGGATGAAATGCAGGATGAAAGTGAAACCTCCGAGGACAGTCAAAGAGAGGAAGACAATGTAAAGGACCAATGGGCCCAAGAGGCCAAGAAGATCCTGCTTTGAGGATGACTAATTTAGGTCAAGACTTTTTCTGTTACTTTTGGCTGTCATCCCTTTGCTTGCTATATGGCACATTCCTCAAATATCAACTTGTTTATATGTTGATTTAACTCTGTAATAAAATGTTGATTTTTCCTGATTAAATGGGGCTCTGATATCCTCACTTGCCCTGGACCAATGTTAGCACCAAATCACCTTGAAATTGCGAACACTTCCACGACCTCCCATTTCTCAATGATCCTTTAACAAAAAATGGCAAAATTCTACTTGCCTTCTTTATTACTTGCTCTACTCGCATATTAGGGTGATGCCTTGTAATAGCAAATGTTCTGCAGCATGCAGCATACCATCATGAAGCTTGACACATGCTATGCCAAATACTGCAGGGCTCCTCCAGAATGGTACAGGCAAAAAGGTGCTGTTTCATTATTCGATTATTCTAGAATGTTACATTCCTTGTAGCATCATGGCTCTCATGGTATGCATGCCACCTATTTGTAAATGAGGTGGTAAACTGGGGTTATGAGCTATATTGACCTTGTCACCCAATAAGTACCTTCTTGTTTGCCATTAAGACTCAAATGCAACTGACACAGTGAACTGCGACAAAATAAAGGCTTTTTAAAGACTGGCAGAATGGTGGACATGGTCCTATAAGGCATGCATTGTATGGACACCATCTGCAAATTGATGAAGTGAAACCCTTTCCAGTTATGGTGCACCTCAGACTTGACATGCAGAGCCTGAATAGTGACATGTTTGCAGTTTTCAATGTTCTGTACCACAGGAAATACTACAGGTCTTGTAAAGTTATTTGCTTCACTTGCTCTTCCCTGGCAAGAGAGAATAAAATTTATTCAGCCTTCTTGGGAAGAACTTCTGTGTTTTCCCTTATGCAATAGGTATATTGGAACTTCTGATTAATATACCTGCCTACCGAAAGTCGATTAATTGAGGCGATACCATAACACACAAAGTAGCAGAACTGGATGTTGTGGTTACCAATTTTGAAAAAGCAAAAAGGAAGAGGCATACCTGAAAGGGAAGACTGGTCCATGATTTACAGTCATGGCATTTAGGGTCAAGATGGATGGAGAGCATGAAGGTAGGTGCTGTTTCCAGAGATGGCAGATGCCATGGAACCTCAAGAGTACATGGACCCATATCTTAAAGTTCATTACTATTTATCTAGCTATTTATCTCTCCAACTGGCTTAACGGAACAATATCAATTCTCTATTGCTGCAAATTATCTGAAGTACTTGTTTCAAAGGGTAGATCTTGTCAATACAAGCTTTGCATCATGGTTGCATCATGGTTGACACATTGGAGATTAGCTTCCCCCTTTAAATGCAACAATAATGGTGGATTGAGCCCTCAATAACTGTCTACACTGCACTTACCTTTCTTACCTTGTTGCATTGCTAGTATGGCATGTGGGCTGTCCTGTTGAAGAAGAGCCGCTGCACTCATAAAGTGTTCTAATTGGCTGATTTCTCATCCATGTGGGTTCATGATATGATGGGGAACCTACTTCTGAGAAATATGAAGGGAGGCAGAATTTTTTTCATCATTTTTCCAGAACCACTGCCTCTAATAAACTGGGAAAATTTCCCCTGAGATGTGCCTGACATGATTGATATGAACCATCCTTTGAAGTGGCATGGATGTGTGGTGGAAAGTATATGGATAAATTTTGAGGCAGGTTTGAAAATCACAGATTAATATCATATGCATACCAACAAATGAAATTAAATAACTTGAATCAAATTTCAATGAACAACAGTTGCAGATTCATTACTAAAACAAATGGAAATATTCTAAACAGCTACTTTAAGAGCATTCAGTTGATATCAAGAATGAAAGGGTTAAGTATTTATGGACCAGTTGAAATTACATAGATTGAGGGCAATAAGGAAGCATCACAAACAAGAGAAACATGCAATCAAGCAAGGAAAAGATCGAAAGTACCGTCAGTGCTAATTTTGATAGAACAAGAATGTTTCATGGCAGTCACCCGCAAAATATCATGCATTCAGGTTAACTTCAATAGGGTGCATGCACTGAATATGGCAAAATAAGATTCAGCACAATGAACACAGCTTGAGAAAGCAGCTCGAAAACTTGAACATTGGAGAGCAATCATAAGAATATCAGAAATAGTAGCTAGAATTGGCCATTTGGCCTTTCAGATTTGCTCTGCCATTCAATGCAATTATGGTTGATCTATCTCACCTCCTGCCATACTATCTCCATACCCCTTAATTTGACCAGAATCCAAAAATATATCAATCCCCGTCTTTAAAATACTAGCTGAACAAATGATCATTTTTTATGTCTCTTAGATAAAGATTTCCAGACATTTGCAGCCTTTTGAATAAAAGAAAGTGTTTTCATCTTGGTCCTAAATAGTCAAAACCTTAATCGACATTGTGACATTTCGTTCCATATTTTGCATTGCACTACATAATGTCTTGTCAAGGCTCTATATAATTGTAACAAGATTTCTCTTGTATTTGAATTTCTTTGTAATAAAGATTAGCATGTCGATTGCTCTTCTAATTGCTTGCTCTAGCTGTATGTTAACTTTCTGTAAATTGTGCATCAGGACACACTAATGTATCTGAGTATCTATATTTTGCAGTCTCTTCCCAGTTAAAAAACATTGTGCTTTTCAATTTTCTGCCAAAATGGGTAACTTCACTTATTCTCACATTGTATAACATTTTGTCACTCATTCAATCTGTTCATATCATTTTATAGTTTTATTTTCATCCTCTTCACATTTTACATTCCTACCTAGCTTTGTATCATTGACAAACATTACACACATACATTACACTCGGTCCCTTCACCAAAGTAGTTGTTTGAAATTGTAAATAACTGAGGCCCAAGCACTGAACCTTTAATTATATAACCAAATCAATAGAATCCCAGTCAAAGGAGGTCAATCAAATGGTACTGTGCTCTGAGCAGACAACACCTTGCATATTGTGTGCTGTTCTGGTCACTGAGAAATAAAGTAGGCATTCAAGTGATTTATTAGTTCTTGTAATGCAGTGGTAGGCCAAATGGACCTGGTGGTCTGACTTTAAGTCCCACTTGCCACAGAGGTATGCCATAACATGTCAGCACAGGTTCATTATTTTTGCTTTCCAAAGTGCTGGAAGCAATGCAGAAAAGTCACAAGGTTGATTCCTAGTCTCAGAGTCTGAGCTAAATGGACAAATTTGAATTAGAAGCCTGGAGAGATGTATTAAGAGATCTCAGTGAAGGTACGTAAGACTGCAAATAGTATGAAAAGGTAAATGTGGAAAATTAATTAAAGTAAAACGTCAAAGGAAGAGAAGGAACAACAGGGTCAAACCAGTTAAAGGCAAATTCAGAACTAATTTAAAAAATTTCACAAAAGGTACTGATCAAAACATGAACTTACACTATTGATTAGAATAATGAAGGTAAGACCTTAGACTCATAGTAACCTATAGAATGCTGCAATGAGGAAACTTAAACCACCTGGATATTTGAAATAATTATTCTGGGAAAGTAGTTGTGACATATGAGGTAAACATCTGTAATTCAGAGGTATTATCAGTGTTCCTAACAATTTTAGGGGTGAGATGGTTTAGAGAATTGTAATGCATTTAATCTTTATCCACTGTCCGTGGATGCTCATTGGATCAATCACTGGTGCAGGAAGCAGACTGAAAAAATCAAATGTATACATCAGGATTTATTCAACAGGCCAAAGTATAACCAAATGAGTGAACCCTTCATTGAAAGTTTTAAAGCTATTGTTCCAGTTCCAAAGGCACACTGATGGATCTTAAGCCAATTTCTACAATAGGATGCTACAGAGAACTTATGGAGAACACAGAACACACAAAACAATTAATTTACCATTCAATTAATTGAAATCTGAAGATCCCACCAGAGAGCATCACAGATATCTCATCAACCTCTTTTTCAGTCACTCTGGTAGCTACAGCGCTAGCTGTGATAATTCTGTAGGCAGTTTAATTCTCAATCAAGATTGCTTACATATATGCTTAATACCATATACCTTGAGATCTTTGCCTACACGAGGGATTTTAAACTGAGTTTAAAACGTAAGCTTCTTGAAGCAAAAAAAGACCACTTCTCTGGTGCCAGCCATAAACATTTAAAGAATTCTAAGCTTGTGAATAATGGTATCTGACTTGATAATGAAGCTGTAAGCAATCTGAGTTACCACTGGCTATTTTCAACACATATTCATTCTCCATATGCTCATGCAGTAGAGCATGAAATGAACACTGAATAATAAGAAAATTAAATCTTTCTACATGGATATTGTTGTGCAAAAACTAAAGTATTATGCATAGCTTATGAAGACTAAATTTGGGAAATTATTTTCTTGGTTCATAATGCACTTCTGCTAATTGGCAGTGTGTGATGTAAATCTTTGAAGCTCAGGGGTACAAGGCAAATGCTAAAGAGACTACGTTGTAAAACATGTACATGTAGTAGCTCTCATTATTATTTATACCCTATTAGTATGACCTGCTCCTTGGTCTAATGTTACATATGGGTCGACGTTGAGATATAGAGGTCCAACTTCTGGTTACATGCTCATTTACACGTAAAAGATGTAGAAGGATCTTCCAACTTGGAAGTGTGAAATCCATCCTGTCTCACCTACTCTGAATCCCAATAATGCCAGAAGAGTGGTTGCTGGAAACAACAGTTCAGGTGAAAATGACTTTTCTAATAGCGTAACTGTTCAGAAATCAAGGTCTGTATAGCACAGGAAGGATAACATAGTATGACTCCTTAATTTCTTAAAAGGAATGTACCTTTGATATCTCTCATTGGATAACTGGGATAGTCCTACCTTGTAGATATAAGATAACATCAAAGAGGAGGATGACCTTGTCAGAGCTAATGTATTCTAATCTTTTTACTCGTAGGTAATACACACTGCAGGTGAAAAGCACAGAACTGAAGATTTTGTTTCAGATAAGGTGTCTGGATTAAAATGTTTAACATAATGATTTTTTAAAAAAATGTTTCTTTTTATGCATGGCCTCTGGATACCATGTTGCCTCCAGGATGTGAAATGGTCTCTGTGGTAACTGATCCAATAACTATCCCTCAAAAGAGAGAGCCAGAATTACAATATTGTCCTTTCTATGTATTTCATTTGCTACATAAAAAAATATTTGTTAACCCATTTTCAATTTATTTCAAGTGCACAAACTCTACCAAAAGTGCTGTTTTACAAATGTGGTACTTCACCATCTTGATTAATTAGAATCAAAAGAAATTAATCATGAACCTCATCACTGAAAAAAGAAAATCTTCCAGTTGTTGAGTAAAGTTGGATGAGTTCTTCCCATAAAGATCCAAAAGTCCGGTAGATATGTTTAGAAATATTAAACAGAATATAAGCACCTTCCAAGTGAGTTCAGGACTTGATTTACAACTGTCAATCAGCCAGCAATTCCATGATGATTGGTAGCCATCTTTTGGTAAGCAAAACATAAACCCCGTCCACTTCCATACAACCTCTCTCTCTAGGTGAGAAGACATAGGATTAATCAAATATGTGAGATTACATGATATAAAAAAAAACTCAACGTACATTATAACATCACTTCAATTGATAGTCATGAATTCACTTTTTTGTTAACAGCTAAAACATTCTAAATGAACACATTGCGTATTTAGCTGAAAAGGATTAAATATTTCATCACATTTATGAGAAGATAGATTTCCAAGCATTTCTCTTAGCAAAGCAATGACAGCACAACAGGAGAAGCCTGAAGGGAATTCAGATCTCTCATGCTTTTATAGCTCATTAAATACTGTATGTAACATTTAGTGGTCCAGTTTATTATTCCAATTTTATAAATGTTGCAAAGTGAACCTATTATTCAAGCATTAAATTAAAAGAATCCTCTGTCATGTGTGGAGCAATATAAATGGCTATTCAGCTGCCAATGCCAACAATAAATATTTTTAGTGCATGAAGGTAGAAAAGATATTTTGTATTTCACAGTAGCAACATATCACTCACAGCTTCCATATATAAATGAATGCAAAATTTCAAACTACAAGATGAGTTTCTGTAGTTCTGACATGCCTCTCAGGCAAGTCTGAAATACCAACTTCTGCTATTTGCAACACAGACATGTTTTGGAACACATGGGGCTTTTAATTTATTTAATTTAACCATTGCCGAGCAAGAATGGATACCAAAATTATCACACCAGCTATAAAACCAAAAATTTAAAATACCAAGTAAATTTCAGGTATGTAAAATATTTACTTGCATTAGGAGGGTGAGAACTTTGAATGAAATCATTAACCCTAATCAAGCTGCTTCATAGGTTGCCTGTGTTATTATATTATATTATAGCACCCTCAGGTCCAAGGTTTACCTGAACTGGAATAGTGATTAAACTCCACATTAGTGGTCTTACTCTGCTAGCCATCTGGATAAGTGAGCTAACTGCAACCCCTTATTAATTTATTTTCAAAAACATTTATTCCAATAATGTATCTTGTCTAACTTATATGCTATTTATAAAAATGCACTTCACAATCTCAACAAACTTTCCATAATATTACTTCACAAAGCAGTATAGAAAAGAACTGTCAGTAAATGTTTCAATTTTCCTCTGAATTCTGTCTTTCCATAATCATTCTTAAATCGACTAACATTTTTGCTCATACTTTTGTGAATTGTGCAAATATTCAAAAGCTGGCATTGTACTTCTCAATATCTGAATTGACTTCTCCAACTTCAAGTGAGTTCAGTATATTCTTGAACTTTAGAAGCTTTCTGCTCCATCCAGTGTGAACTTCCCTTGAGTACATGGTCTAACTTAAATATCGTTTACACAAAGAATGCTTCAAACATAGATAGACATGCAAAACAGACAGTGGGAAGGGGAGGGGAAGGGGAAAGAATAACTAGTACAGTGAGGAGAAGAATAAAAGGATGAAGGGTTGAATGGAAAGAGTGGGCCAAGGAAATAAGTGGATAAAAAATTAACGATGAGACTAAAGTGTTTAGAGATGAACCATTGATGATTAGCAAGAATATGATGGGGAGTATGTTAACAGTGTGTTGGAAGGCTGAAGAGCGTGCAAAATAAAGCATATCACCAGACTGCTATATTCCCATCTAATCCCAGCCTATGCTCTACACTATGGGGAAGAAGGGGACACAATAAGCAGCCCAAAAGCAGTTTTCATTATATGGGCAACTGGTAGGCAAAAATGGTGGGGTATCTCTTTTAGGGGGGCTGGGGTACACCTCTACATAGTACCCTCTCTTTATCTCTCAATGTTGGACGAACTGGACTCGGGTATGATGTTTCCACTGCTTAAGAGTCAAGATCAAGAGGTCATGGTCTTAGGATACTATGTAGGGCTGAGATTAGGAGAAATGTCTTCATGAGACGGTTGGTGAACCCATGGAATTCTCTGCCACATAAGATAGTTGAGGCCAAATCAGGAATATATTTTAAAAAGCATCAGATTTGTAGATGCTGAAGGCATCAAGTGATATGGGAAGAGGGCAGTATGGCTTTGCAGTAGAGAATCATCCATTACCATATTAATTGGTGGATCAGGGTCATTGAACCAATGGCCTACTCCTGCTCTTTTTTTTTTGTTTTTAAGTTTCTCTCTAACCCTTTACAATCATCAACCCTCCCAAAAACCTTAATGGGGTGTCCCAGCCCAAAGTCCGCAGACTTATCTGAAGGCAATTGCTTGTTAGCGTTGCATATAATTCAGTAGTGACCATTACTGTTTTCTGGTGCTGCTCGGAGTACATTTAGGGTAAAGCATCCTGCTTCTGAGGGGTGCAAGTCTCACTTTGATCCAGTTAATGGCATATTATTTCTTTGTTTTTAATCATTCTTGGGAATATGGCACAACTGGCTGAGCCAGCATTTATTGACCATCGCTTGTTGCCCTTAAGAAGGTGATGCTGAACTGCCTTCTTGAAACATTGTAGCCCATTTGGTGTAGATACTGCCGACAATGCTATTAGGGAGTGAGTTCCAGGATTTTGACACAGAGACTCTGAAGGGACAACAAGAAATTTTTAAGTGGGGGTGGGTCCATCTACTGTACTTGTCCTTCTAGATGATAGCAGTCATGGGTTGAACAATGGTGTCTTGGAGAATTTCTGCAGTTCATTCTATAGATGGCACACATTGCTGCTGTTGAGTATCAGTGGTGGAAGGACTTTGTGGATATGATGCCAGCCAAATGGGCTGCTTTGCCCTGGATGGCGCTAAGCTTCTTGAGTATTATTGGAGCTGCACTCATCCAGGCAACTGTGGAGTCTTCTATTACAGTCTTGACTTCTGCATTATAGATGGCATAAGGGCTTTGGGGAGTCAGGAAGTGTGCTACCTGCTGCAGGATTCCTAGTCTCTGACCTGCGTACCAGCTGCTACAATATTGGTAGTGTAGACCAGTTCAGATTCTAGTCAATGACAACACCCATGATGTTGACAGAGGGGGATTCAGTAACAGTAATGCCATTGAATGTCAAGGGCCAAAGGTTGCATTCCTTCTTGTTGAAGATGGTCATTGCCTGGCACTTGTGTGCACAAAAGGTACTTGCCAATTGTCAGCTCAAATCTGGATGTTGACCAGGTCCTCCTGTTTATGGACATGAATTGCTTCAGTCTCTAAGGAATCATGAATGGTCCTGTGCATTGTAAAAATAATTAGTAAACATCCCCACGTCTGACCTTATGATGGAGCAGTTGAAGATGATTGGGCCCAGGGCACTATCCTGAAGAACTTTTGCGTGTTGTCCCAAGACTGAGATGACTGACCTTCAACAACCACAACCATCTTCCTTTGTTCTAGGTATGACTGCAGCCAGTGTACAGTTTTCCCCCCATTTGCCATTGGCTTTACTTTTGCTACTGCTCATTGAGGCCACACTCGCTCAAATGCAGACTTGATGGCAAGGGCAGCCATTCTCATTTCACTATTGGCATTCAGTGATTTTTTCCATATCTTAACCAAAGCTATAATGAGGTCAGCAGCAGATTGGTGCTGGCTAAACACAAACTGAGCATTAGTGAGCAGGTTATTGTTAAGTATTACAGGGTTGGATTTTCTGAGAAATGGCAATCTCAGGCACCTTGTCACTCCATCTCATTTTTTTATGAAATCAGAGAGCTCTGCATTTCTGACAGGAGATAGCAATCAGGGCTCCTTTAGAAATCAGGGCCCTACTACTATTCTTTCAGTTCTCTCATACTACAAACTTGTCAACTGAAGGGAAATCATTAGCTGTTTTCACAACAGTCAGGTGCCGCATTCTGAAACTTAAAAGTCCAGAATCACAGCCAGCTACTTTGACAGATATTGTCAAATGGTAAGTACATAAAATACAAAACTGAGAGGGAAGGGTGCCAGTAAGGTATCATGTGGGATAGTGAACCAAATGGGTATGGAAATAGATGACAGAGGGTAGTGTGCCAGTTGAGAGGGTTCCAGGTGGATAGATTGCCATTGGTAGGGGGCACAGTGCCAGGGAAATGGTTCCAGTTGGGTAGGGCTCAATTTTGAAAGAGGGCCCAGTAAGTGATGCAGTGTTTAGGGTAAAGCAGGGTAGATGGACAATATTGGGTCATACAAGGGGCAGGGGAAGGTGAATGCTCAGTCCTATCTAGGTGACAGGTCTCAGGGAGACAGCTGATCCAGGCCTGCAGCAGGTGGGCGGCAGTATCACTTTACAGAGAATAATGATAGAAGTCTTGTCAGAAGAGTTCTTAAATAGTTTATTACCACTTTGTTCTGGATAATGCCAATTTTCTCAAATGTTGTTGAAGACTCACTCATTTAGACAAGTGGTGAATATTCCATCACAATCCTAGATATTTTTAAATCAACATGTTCAAACATATTCTGAGATACCTCTGGAACAAGTGGGACTTGAACTCAGGTCTTCTAGCCCAAAAGTAGGGACACTATCAGTACATCACAAGAATCCCCCCAGCAGACTCATTTCTTTTTTGCTCCCATCAGACTTCTAGAGTTTGCCTAATGATGGTGGGCGGAGCTTTGGAAGTTAATTGCTGCAGAACTGTCAGATTTTTAACTGTTTTCACAGCTGCATTATTTATATGGATTGTCCAATTAACTCTTTGGTCAATGGCAATCCAATAATACAAATTCAGCAGTTATTGGCCAATCATCGTTAACAGGTGCATTCACCATGGCAGCCTGACTTTCAATCAGAATGCTCATGTGATACAATATTAGAAGTTGTTTTCCCTTTAAATTAGTATTCTTTTGAATTGATGAGAACAACATGAAAAGCTTTGACAAAATATGTCATTTTTCAACAATATTCAAAATGCCATAGCTGAAATAAACAGTAGATACTTTTTAATCAGCTTGTTCAGATGTGTTATGACACACCTCTGAAGCAGATGGACTTGAAACCAGGCCTTCTGGTTCAGAGGCAGGGACATCATCACTGTGCGACAACAGCCTACGAAAGAGTTAGCTTTTAATTTAACCATGCTGA